TTATGTGTAGAAAGAAATTTGGTAATAAGTCATACATATTTTATGAAAAAGAGGATAAATAAATATACAAGGTATGATGTAGCACGTAATGAAAGTAGTTTGTTAGATTATGTATTGGTGGATAAAAGGTTGATGGGTAGGCTCCAGGATGTACATGTTTATAGAGGGGCAACTGATATATCAGATCATTATTTAGTTGTAGCTACAGTTAGAGTAAGAGGTAGATGGGAAAAGAGGAAGGTGGCAACAAGAAGTAAGACGGAGGTGAAAGTGTATTAAGTAAGGGAGGAGGAAGTTCGGCCGAGATATAAGCGACTATTGGCAGAAAGGTGGGCTAGTGCAAAGATGAGTTGTGGGGGGGTTGAAGAGGGGTTGGAATAGTTTTAAAAATGCAGTATTAGAATGTAGGGCAGAAGTTTGTGGTTATAGGAGGGTGGGGGCAGGGGAAAGAGGAGTGATTGGTGGAATGATGAAGTAAAGGGTGTGATAAAAGAGAAAAAGGTAGCTTACGAGAGGTTTTTACAAAGCAGAAGTGTTATAAGAAGAGCAGAGTATATGGAGAGTAAAAGAAAGGTGAAGAGAGTGCAAAAGGAGAGCAGATGAAAGAGTGGGAAGGCACTGTCAAGAAATTTTAATGAAAATAAGAAAAAATTTTGGAGTGAGTTAAACAAGTTAAGAAAGCCTAGGGAAAGTATGGATTTGTCCGTTAAAAACAGAGTAGGGAGTTAGTAGATGGGGAGAGGGAGGTATTAGGTAGATGGCGAGAATATTTTGAGGAACTTTTAAATGTTGAGGAAGAAAGGGAGGCGGTAATTTCATGCACTGGCCAGGGAGGTATACCATCTTTTAGGAGTGAAGAAGAGCAGAATGTAAGTGTGGTGGAGGTACGTGAGGCATTACGTAGAATGAAAGGGGGTAAAGCAGCTGGAACTGATGGGATCATGACAGAAATGTAATAGCAGGGGGATATAGTGTTGGAGTGGTTGGTATTTTTGTTTAATAAATGTATGAAAGGGGGGAAGGGGGTCCCTGGGGATTGGGGGAGGCATGTTGCCCTTTAAAAAAGGGAAAGGGGACAAAAGAGTTTGTAAAAATTATGAGGAATAAGTTTACTGAGTATACCAGGAAAAAATTACGGTAGGGTTTATAATTGAAAGAATTAGAGGTAAGACAGAATGTAGAATTGCGGAATGAGCAAGGATGCTTCTGATGGGTTAGGGGATGTGTAGATCAAGTGTTTTACATTGAAGCATATATTGTGAAACAGTATTTAGATAAAGGTAGGAAGTTTTTATTGGCATTTATGGGATTTAGAAAACGCATATGATAGTGGAATAGGAGGAGCAATGTGGGCAGATGTTGCAAGTATAGGAATAGGGTGGTAAGTTACTAAATGCTGTTAAAGAGCTTTTATGAGTATGAGAATAGTGGTGGCTCAGGTAAGGCGAGTGTAGAAGAGGAGGGAGAATACTCCCGGTAAAAGTAGGTCTTAGGGACAGGGATGTGTATTGTCACATGGCTAGGTTAATATATTTATAGTAGGGTTGTAAAAGAAGTAATGCTAGGGTGTTCGGGAAGAGGGGATGGGATATAAATTATGGGGAATCAATCAAAATATGTAATAGAGTTCCTTTTTGCTGATGATACTGATGCTTAGGGAGATTCTAAAGAAAATTTGCAAGGTTTAGTGGATGAGTTTGAGGGAATGTGTGTAAAGGTAGAAAGTTGAAAGGAAACATAGAAATGAGTAAGGTGATGGGGTTATCAAATGATTTAGATAAAGAAAAATTGGGATATCAAAAATGGAGAGGAGTATGGACGAAAGAGTGAATGTTTTCAGTATTACTTGGGAGTTGACGTGTCGGCGGACGGTGGAACCCCCAATGAAGGATGAGGTTAATCATAGAATTGTATGGGGACAAAAAAGGTGAGTGGTGCGTTGTTTGAAAGTAATTATGTGAGTCAAAAACGTTATCTATGAGGCAAAGAAGGGAATGTATGAAAGTATAGTAGTAACCAACACTTTATATGGATGTTGAAGCTTGGGTGGTTAAATGCGGCAGGCGAGGAGTGACGGTTGGAGGCAGTGGAGATGTCCTGTCTAAGGGCAATGTGTGGTTGTAAATATTAGCAAGAAAATTCGTGAGTGTGGAAATTAGGAGAATGTGTGGATTAAAAAAGCATTAGTCAGAGGGCGAAGAGGGGGTTGTAGAGGTGTTTGGTCATTTAGAGAGAATGATCAAAGTAGTTTGACTTGCGAATGCATATAAATCTATAGGGGAAGGAAAGAGGGGTAGGGGTCGTCCTCGAAAGGGTTGGAAAAGAGGGGGTAAACGGAGGTTTTGTGGGGAGGGGCTATGGACTTCCAGCAGCGTGCTTGAGCGTGTTAGACTAGGAGTGAATGGAGACGAATGATACTTAGGAACCTGAAGATCTGTTGGGAAATGTGGAGCAGGGTAAATATTTAGATGGAAGGGGGATTTCAGGGGAAACCGGTATTATTTTCATATAGTCGGACTTGAGTCCTCGGAATGGGATGTACAATGACTGCACTTGTAAAGGAGTGGTTTGGATATATGGCCTGTTGGGGGAATATGCTTGTGTATCTTTATTCGATATGCTTTCTAATCTGTTGTATTCTGAGCACTCTGCAAAAAGCAGTGATATTGTGTGTGTGTGGTTGGAAAGTGTTGAATGATGATGAAAGTTTTTCTTTTTGGGGATTTTTTCTTTTTTTGGGTTCACCCTGCCTCGGTGGCGAGACGGACCCACCGTCCTTGTTGGAAAAAAAAAAAAAACACATGTATGTGTACTTATTAAAACCGACTGTGAGACTAAGTGTAAGAAAAACCAAACTAGAAGTAGCAAGACGTACCTGAAATCTTGCTGTTTATGAGACAGAGAATTAAGGACCCCAGCAATCCTACCATCATTGTAAAAAACAATTACAGGTTCCATTTTACACTCGTTGGCAGGACGTAGTACCTCCCTGGGCGGCTGCTGTTACCAACCTACTCCAATAAAACTTAGAAAATACACTTGCATAATGTTCGAGATAGGGAGATGTTAGAAACTCTAGGTACCACTGTATTAGTGTTCGGTTACCTCATTTATGTATATAATTCAACCTCTAGGAAGTATTTCTCATAGGTTTGGTTCCTACCTTTTGCTTAAAAATTGGTCCTTGAGACCTCAAATATACTAGAGTTGAGTATATACAGGTAGGTTAGTGAATGTTCTCATCCCCTTTGTTACATAAGTTCATTTCCATTTTCAGTAATAAATAAACCTATCAGGTTGTTTTTCTGAAATAAAAACTAATGATATTGTACCTCAAGAAATACTGGGGTACCGTGTTTGCAATAAAATTATTAGGCCGGTTAGGAAGATTGTTAGGTTTTTGTATACTATGGTTTAGCCCCATTTACAGCTCTTATTTTACAGCATTTTGCTAGATCAGAGTTTTCAGTTTTGCCCTTCTTCACCTATTAAGACTTCCTACAAAAGAAAATATATTCACCACTCGTATAAGCTAAGGATGAAAATATTTTAAGGTAAGTAATGTGTGTACTGTATGTGCATTTTTTAGGCCTAGCTGTATTTTTCACTTTATATATGCAAGTGTCAGCATGTTACCAGGCTTTTATATACACTTGAAAGTGAGAAAAGCTATGATTCACGTTACAGCAGCAGCCTGGGACATAACCTGTGTAAGTGGGGCCTTGTTGTACAGTATTGTTCTGGACGGAGGGTCGAGCCTACACCATTCCTTGTGTTAAATGACTTCATGGGTTTAGCGCTTCAGCTAAAGTATAAACACAATGTGCAGAAGAAAAATTTGAAACTGAAAGGATATTTTGTTATGGGATGGGACAATGTTAAATTTTTGCTGATACAGATACACAGTTTAGGCCAATATTAACACCAGTACCTTCAAAAGAAACTGAACACCCACCAGTACTAGAATTAATACCATCACAATTGGCTGATACTAGCTGATATTAGTTTTATGCTAATAATCAATACCATCAAACATTATCTTGTACCAACATGTACCTCGATACTTTTACCACCTTTAATTTTGTTAAATAACACAAGTTCTGTTCCAGTTATTCTAGTTACTAAAACAATAAGGGCACTATTTTTGTAGCCTTGCCGTAATAATGTCCAAGATATCTTCCTGTTGTTGATATAGTACAAACCTTAAGTTTTGTATGTAGCACTTAGTTATTATCTTGAATTCCTTGACAAGAAACAAAAAATGGTTTGAAGCAGGAGTGAAGGTCTTTGGTGTTGTAGTTAGGATTAATGAGCAATAAAATGTACAGTGGGCCTAATTTGTTTGTATTTTTTGTTATAGATTACACATCTGTTTTACTGTTGTTATATGGATGTGTAGCAGTACATGGAGGCAAGAGATAAAAGAGAGTATATATGCTGATTGGGGGGGGATGTAGTACTTCACTCACTTGATTTATGAATACAACCGGAATTCCTTCTCAGTTGTTTAACAAGATCAAACCAAAGTATTATACAGATGGCTTTGCTTAATGTGTTCTGCTAATGAGAAATTTTTGGTTGTATACCCAATCTTCATTTATATCAGCTTCATACAATAAAAGGATTCACACTTCAATACGCCTAAGGATGAAAACAATTTTAAAATAAGTTGTTGTGTACTGCATATGCATTTTTTTTTAGGTTTCTAGCTTTATTGCTTGGTAATATATGATAGTGTAAATGTGTTATCAGTCTTTTAAATGCATTTGAAGAGGAAAAAAGACTAGTTTTACGGAGATTTTCACTTTACAGCATTAGCCAGGAACCTAACCCGCTGTATGAGCAGGGCCCTCCTGTTGTATTGTGCAGTGTAAGGTTAAGATTCATATATTTTGATTGCAATTCATTATGACCTTGAGCATTCCCATTCATGTGGCAACTTCTAATGTGTATTAGTGTCTTCTGACCTAATTATCTCGTCCTAAAAATTCTGCATACAGGTTGCTGGTTCAATGAAGCTGGAGTTGGCCCAGTACCGTGAAGTTGCTGCCTTTGCCCAGTTTGGCTCAGATCTTGATGCATCAACTCAGCAGTTGTTAAATCGTGGTGTGCGTCTTACTGAACTCTTGAAACAAGGACAGTATGGTAAGTTATTGGTTATGTTAATGTGTGTGTTCTTTTTTGGATTGCCTTTGGTAGATGGCCAACTTGTGAAAAAAAATACAAATACTGTACACTTGAAGTACAAATGTTAATATAAGGTTTGTTTATATCAGTACCTATATCTGTTGAAGAACAGGTAAAAGACCACAACTTGACTGGCTTTGGAAATAGACAAAATCTATTGGGTCACTTAATTCAGAAAATCCAAGTCCATTGGTTACAGAATTGTCTATTATTGTTAGTCACACCAAGTCTCCCCTCAATTTGCCAACAATTGCTATTAACAACCACCTGTGGCCCCCATATTAATCTGTTAAATTGAGGGTTTACTCTATGTAATGTAAAATATTTTACACTAGCAATAAAATCGATCAATAAATTATTCTTTATTTCAGTACCCATGGCTATTGAAGAACAGGTAGCAGTCATTTACTGTGGTGTTCGTGGACTTCTTGACAAGTTGGACCCTTCAAAGATCACTAAGTTTGAGCAGGAGTTCATGTCCATGATGAAAACCAGCCACCAAGATCTCCTTAATGGTATCGCCAAGGAGGGACTGATAACACCAGAGGCTGACGCTAAGCTGAAACAGATCATTGTGGATTTCTTGGCTACTTTCCAGGCTTAAATAAATATGAATAAATGTAGTCTTAGGTCAAGTCATGGGATGCCCTTGTGTTGTCCTTGAGTGGGTCTCGAGTCAGGGCCATGAGTTGGTTTAAAATTCTAATAATATTTATATGTATGCATGCCCTAGAACTGGGTTTTGCCGGATGGAACATATTGGTATCCCAGTGTGTATATAAGCCAATGTCAACTTGGGGAGAGTGTATACAATTTGCATGCACCTTCCTCATTTCACATTTCCATATTTTATAATTATTGTGGAGGTAACCAAAATGTATATAAAAATGTCCCACTTCAGAAAATAAGCTATAGTGTATGAAGTCTCCTTTTGGTTAGACTGTACATTGTTAGTGTCATACCGGTTCTCCATAATAAATAAAATGACGTTTTTTCTTTAACGTATCATTAACCTTAATTTTTTTTTCTTCAACAATTTGGGCCGCTCCCACCGAGGCAGGGTGACCCAAAAAAAAAGAAAGAAAATCCCCAAAAAGAAAATACTTTCATCATTCAACACTTTCACCACACTCACACTTTAAATCACTGTTTTTGCAGGGGTGCTCAAAATACAACAGTTTTAGAAGCATATACATATAAAGATACACAACATACCCCTTTCCGAACTGCCATATCCCAACCCCTCCTTTAAAGTGCAGGCATTGTACTTCCCATTTTCCAGGACTCAAGTCCGACTATATGAAAATAACCGGTTTCCCTGAATCCCTTCACTAAAAAATTCCCCCTGCTCACCTCCTCCAGATCATCAGGTCCCAAGTACCATTCGTCTCCATTCACTCCTATCTAACACGCTCACGCACGCTTGCTGGAAGTCCAAGCCCTTCTTCCCACAAAACCTCCTTACCCCTCCCCTCCAACCCTTTCGAGGACGATCCCTACCCCGCTTCCTTCCCCTATAGATTTATATGCTTTCCATGTCATTCTAACTTTGATCCATTCTCTCTAAATGACCAAACCCCCCTCAACAACCCCTCTTCTGCCTTCTGACTAATACTTTTATTAACTCCACCTTTTTCCTAATTTCCACACTCCGAATTTTCTGCATAATATTTACACACATTGCCCTTAAACGGGACATCTCCACTGCCTCCAACCTTTCTCCTCGCTCTGCATTTACCACCCAAGTTTCCCACACCCATATAAGAGTGTTGGTACTACTATACTTTCATACATTCCTTTTTTGCCTCCATAGATAACGTTTTTTGACTCCACATATACCTCAACGCACCACTCGCCTTTTTTCCCTCATCAATTCTACGATTAACCTCATCCTTCATAATCCATCCGCCGACATGTCAACTCCCAAGTATCTGAAAACTTTTCCCACTTCTATACTCCTCCTCCCCCAATTTGATATCCAATTTTTCTTTATCTAAATCATTTGATACCCTCATCACCTTGCTCTTTTTCTATGTTCACTTTCAACTTTCTACCTTTACACACATTCCCAAACTCATCCACTAACCTTTGCAATTTTTCTTTAGAATCTCCCATAAGCACAGTATCATCAGCAAAAAGTAACTGTGTCAATTCCCATTTTGAATTTGATTCCCCAAAATTTAATCCCATCTCTCTCCCGAACATCCTAGCATTTACTTCCTTTACAACCCCATCTATAAATATATTAAACAACCATGGTGACATTACACATCCCTGTCTAAGACCTACTTTTACTGGGAAGTAGTCTCCCTCTCTTCTACACACCCTAATGTTTGAGCTTATTTTGTTCCTTTGATCTACAAAAACCCATGTGAGTAGTGTTTTCCATGTGTGTTAAAGTGCAGTGGTAGGGTTTACCTTTAGGAAAGGAAACCCCCCCTCAAGGGAGATTCCTTGATGCTGGTGAGGGGATCTTGATTTTTTATCAAATCTGATGATTGCTTCCCAGTACTCTTTAGTGCTTCCCCTTGATTATAATAATAATAATAAATTTCCCAGTACTCTGCACTGTATGGCCCTTTGTAGGTTTAACACTTCTGACTAATTCCCAATACTCGAGGTGCTATATGACCTCTTTGAGTTTAGTGCTTCAACATAATATAATGAGGTAGGCGCACTCCCTCCAGGCGTGCACCAGGCTAAAAATCTTCCCTTGATGGTCCCCTCAAGGAAGGTTCCTTGATGTTGGTGAGGGGCTCTTGATTTAGGAAATGGGATCTGCTCCAGTTCCCCAAATTAAGCCTGAATGCCTTCCACATCCCCCCCCCCCCAGGCGCTGTATAATCCTCCAGGTTTAGCGCTTCCCCTTGATTATAATAATAATTCCCTTGATGGTAAAGGACTTTTGATTCAAGGAATTCTGAATTACTCATATCCTTGATTAAACCAGATTATTTGGGAGACAGTTTTGGTAAAGTGAAGAGAATGGCTAGAAGCTGGTGAAAAGCTCTTCCCAAAACAGAAGTTCTTTACCTCCCATTCTCCAGGTGCTGTATGACCCCTATGGGTCTAGCACTTGCATATACATGTAATTATAACCTTAACGAAGGAGCGCTGTATAGCCCTTGTGGCTTAGCGCTTCTTTTTGATTATAATAATAATAATAATTAACGAAGGAGCTTGTGTACAGTGCCTAGCTCAAAAGTGGTGTTAGTTGCCTGTTGAATTCCTACAATAGAAAGACTAATGTGACTGACTACAGTGCTCTGGTGCTGTCACATCTATATGGTGAGTAACTTGCTGTCACTAATTGGTGCTGAGGTAGTCCAGAACACGTAACAGGTGGACTGGGTGGGACATTGGATGGTGACTTAATCTGTACACTGGGTATTCTTGCCACTTTGCCCTATGAGGTGACCCCTTTATTACTGTAGTAAGCTTTAAACATATCAGTGTATGTTAAAGGTATTCGATGCAACAGTTGCATAGTGTGAATTAAAACAGTTATCTACTTTGGTTGTTTCATGGCATACCTCGTTATCGATATTTAGTGCTATGTTAGATTTGTCTACGGGTTTAATGGCTATACCCCAGCTCTTTTAGTTGCCAATGCTTTCTGGGGGCTATTCTTGTATTATTCGATTTTTGAGCAATGGTACCTTGCCTTTACCGCTTTTATAAGCCTCTGGACTGTTCCTCACCCTTTGGAAGTCATGTAGCAATGTAATATCCTGTCTTGTTTGCCTTGAATCTTTTTAGTAACGGATCCCTGAATTTAATATCTCAGCAGTAATCCAGGGGTCAGTTCTTCATTTAATCCTAAGCACTTTAACTGGTGAAATATTACCAAGGATGGCAGTGAATATGGTTTTGAATTTTTTCCCAGGCATCATTTACATCTGTGCAACTTACTGTCCAGTCACAACTGTGTGGCCTATTTACCAGTATTTCTTTACTGTAGCTTCTAGTTGAATTTATTTTTATTGCACTGTGTAGGCCTATTGAGTATGGTGGTTGAGAATTGTGTAATCCAGGTTGGTGCAATAATTAAGTAATTTAATCCTAGAATTTGCTTATACGTACCTGTTACATACCCCGTTATTTTGCCCCAATGAGGTACATCTGCCACTCTGCCTGGTGGAGGTAATTGTCACGGGGAAAGGCTAAACCCGTAGGATTATACAGTGACTGTGGGGACAATGGAAGGCATTCAGGCTTAACTCGGGGAAGTGGAGCACAGATCCACTTCCCTAGATCAAGAACCCCTCTGGTGGAGACAAGAGTGAGAGGTATGTGTCGTCCTCCCATGGGTCACCAACTTCCCACCCCTGAGAAAGGGCCTATACCACCACCACTAGTGGAATGCTTCTTTGAAGTTTATTCAGGTATACACAAATACACATACATATATTATCTTACTTAGCATATGTGTAGAGAACCTGTGATAACCCAAAAATGTCAGTGACTTTACGTACAAGTAGACAATCTAAGGAGAAAATCCCCTCATGGAAGGTTCCTTGATGTTGGTGAGGGGCTCTTGATTTAAGGAATTGGATCTGTGCTCCAGTTCCCTGAATTAAGCCTGAATGCCTTCCACATCCCCCCTCCCCTGGGCGCTGTATAATCCTACGGGTTTAGCGCTTCCCCCTCGATTATAATAATAATAAAATAAGGAGAAAATACAAAATGTTTACAAATAAAATTTTGGGATTGTATATGCTTAATGGCAATTGTATTATCAATAAATAGTAAAAACCCTGATTTACTTTTTTTTACCACTAAAATTTTCATAGTAATTGGACTGATGTATTTAAATAATTATGTTTCCCAAAAAATATTTTAATTACAAATATTTTTTTAGTGTCAAAATGCTTAGAAATTATAATTAAAACAGTTCATATCGACAGCCCCAACTGATCCAGACTGGAGTTTGAGTTGTGGCAGGAGTATGTTGGCTATGTTGCTGATACTGTAGTGCTTGTGGACCAGTCAAGGGAGGTTCCTTCATGCTGGTGAGGGGCTCTTGATCTAGGGAATTGGAGCTGTGCTCCAGTTACCTGAGTTAAACTTGAATACCTTCTACATCCCCCCCAACAGGTATGGGTATGTTGTGAGTCACAACATACCCATGTTGTGGGTGGTAGTCACAACATACCTATGTTGTGGGTGGTAGTCACCACATACCCATGTTGTGGGTGGTAGTCACCTCATACCCATGTTGTGGGTGGTAGTCACCTCATACCCATGTTGTGGGTGGTAGTCACCTCATACCCATGTTGTGGGTGGTAGTCACAACATACCCATGCTGTGAGTGGTAGTCACAACATACCCATGTTGTGGGTGGTAGTCACATCCATGTTGTGGGTGGTTTTTCACAACATACCCATGTTGTGGGTGGTAGTCACAACATACCCATGCTGTGAGTGGTAGTCACAACATACCCATGTTGTGGGTGGTAGTCAAGGACACAAGAGCTAGTAAGGAAACAAGGCATCATTTCGCGACCTAGCTGCCAGGGATTTGTGGACGTGCCTCATACCTCTCTGCTGACAGTCTAGCAAGTACCCAGTGACGTCATGGTTTTCAGCGTGAGGAGGCGGGTGAATACCGCTGGTATACAGCTTGTTCGGGGGGCGATTACGCCTGAGAATGAACAAGTTTTGTTTACCTAAGTTTAAATCCGTGACACTTATGGTAGGGCGGACAAGGATTTGTACGGTGTGGCATTAAATGGCGACTCCCGGGGATATTTGTAAAACTACTCTACGAGCCAGTGTACGAGCAGCTGGTTGAGAAATTTTCCAAGATCTCTGCGTAGATGTGTCCTGACGTGCATGTGCTTTATAGTGGATG